TTTCCCTTTATTTCATTTCTCTCTTTTTCTTTTCTTTTCACTATTATCTTTTATTTCCTTTTTTTTCTATTTTTCTTTTCTCTTCCTGTATTTTCCTTTTCCCTTTCCCTTTCCCCTTCCCTTCCCTTTTCTCTTGTCTTCTTTTTTTCTCCTTTTCAATTTTTTCTTTTTTTGTTTTTTTCTTTTTCTTTCCTCCTTCCCTCCTCTCCCCCCTCCCTTCTTGTCCTCCTCGCTTTCAAATATCTTCTTTCTGTACCTTCCTTAGAATAAGGGCAATTCAATGATGGTAGGAAAAAATTAATAAGGTGTTGGCCTCAAAATTCAAAGACTGGGAACTTATAAGCTTTCCCAATTTCAGAAGCGGTTTTTAAGGTCACATAAATCAATCTAAATTTCCAGAATCTGTAAAACAGGAATGTGAAATACAAAGGAAAGAGCAATTTTTGTAGAATTTCTAGCTGCATTTCTGCTTCTCTTTATGAAGATACAATTCCTGCCTTGAAGGAAGTTATGAGCTGCAGAAATGCTGCCATTTTTAAAAAATAAATCCATTCCCTGGGATGGATCCATGCTTATGTGAATTGTTGACTTCAATGGAAATACTGTTTGCTGTGTCCTTAACAAGAACAAAAGTTGTTGAACCCAGCCTCTACCATCGTTTAAAAACAGTTCTGATACTGCAGTCCTTGCTCAAACGAGTTTTGCTGTGTTTGATGATTAATAAGAGTCACAAAGCTCTGCACACACAGGTATTTAACATGACATGAAGCACAGAAGTAACATCAATGCACGCTGAATACAGGCACCTAAGACTAGTTTTTCCATAATGATGTGGCTTTAAAAATTGGATCCCTTTCTGACTTTGTACACATCTTTAGGATTATTTCCGAAACCTTTACTGGGAACCTGAGTACATTTATCTCTCTATTCATTCAGCCTTGTTTATCACGAGCTGCTTCTTCACAAGCATTCCTCCGGTTATGAGGAGGAGTGCTGTGGGAACAGCGTAATTTTCTCCGAAGCAGCAGTGGGAAGCTCAGACACTGGTTTTCCTCCTTTCATCACACTCCAGTGCGCCCGTAGAAGTCCCTGGCCAGCCCAGAAGTTCCTTTTGCAAAGCAACGTGATGCGTAATGGCCGGAGCAAAACTCATGGCTTGGCAATGCAAGTATTTGTAGATATTTTTCCTCTGGTCAAAGTTCAGACCGAAACAATGCAGGGGCCTGAAGTACAGAGGCTTCAGGCGCTTCACATAGTTTTTTTTCCAGGTAAGCTCCGAGCCCAGCTGGAAATCTGTGCTATCGCTGGACATGAAGCCCGGCTGGGCCACCATCTTTGCTTTCCCTCCAGGATTTGAACAGCCTCCAAGCCCACGGGGCTTTTTCTTGTTTGCTTTTTCCGGATTTCCTTGTTGCTCCCGCCCCCGGTAACGCTCGCTGGGGTCCGGGCCTGAACCCGGCCTCCCCT